GCCGCGGGTTCGAGTCCCGCCCCCGGCAGCTGCGGAGTCCCGCCCGGAAACGCGCTGCTTATGCAAACAGAAAGCGGTAGAGCAGGGCTCGGTCCAGCTTTGCGTTTACCTCCGCTTTACAGACAAGGAAGTGGAAAACCTGAAGTGACTTGCTTACAGCGGTTGCAGAGGGACGCCTGTCAAGGGGGCAGCTCACTACTCTGATGGGCTACAAAGAGCAACAATACACAAGAGCAGCACACGCACCACGTCTACGTCAATATTACATGTATATACATCAATATTTACCACCTCTCCACCCCATGCACTCGGCGGGTGAGGCTCTGGCGCTGCTGAAAGGGTCACAGAAAAGCTCCAGGCGCGTGGAAACGACGCTGAAGCTTCAACACTGACCGCGACAAGAAAAAAGCATCGTTGAGCGCTGAAAGCTTTATCCCTGCATATCCTCCCGGCTCTTTCTTAGAAGAATAGCCAGCTTTCTGGCAAGGCCTCAGAAAGGGGAAACAAATGATTTTTTTTGGCCTTTAGCAATAAATATTTTAGAAGGGGGCGCGACCAAGGCAAACTGCCTCCTGGCTTAAAGCCCGGGCTTTGTCTCCAAGTTGGCACTCTTGTCCCCTATTGACCACAGAATCACAGAATGGTTGAGGTTGGAAGGGGCCTCTGGAGATCATCTAGTCCAACCGCCCTGCTCAGGCAGGGTCCTCTAGAGCGTATTGCCCAGGATCACATCCAGACGGGTTTTGAATATCTCCAGCGAAGGAGACTCCACCACCTCTCTGGGCAACCTGTTCCAATGCTCTGACCAGACCCACAAAAGGCCAATTAGTGCTTGCAGCAAGGCTCTGGCTGGAGAGGTCCGGTATCATGGCTTCAAAGGACCAGGATTTTTGCTCCCCGCTCGTGTTTGAGTCCTGCCTCCGCAATAACTGGGCCCCTCCTGTACGCAAAGCCCAGACTCACCAACCCCTGCTAAGGTTTTATCTTTAAAATCCAAAGTGCTTCAGTGACACCGAAACCCCGGACGGCGTCAAGACAGGACACTCGCCCCCGGAATTCAAGCACTACTATGAGGACTTGTACCGAAACGTCCTGCCATCATTTCTGTTAGCTATGCAGCTTTCCCGCCTCACAAAACGACACCCGGCACTTGGATTTTAGCCATCGCTCTTTATTGTGGGAAAAATATACAAATCAGTTACTTCTAAATCAGTTCCCCATCCCCTCCCTTAAACAGTCTGCTTAATTAGACTGCCCAAACCAAATGTGCTTTTACTCCATTTTCCCCTACAGATGCAGTCTGTATAAACAAGGAAGAGTTACGTACAGTGCTTTGATAATTCCCTGCAGTTTGTGCGAGTGAGAACAATTGAAATAACAGCACACTCTTGAAACACGAATCAAAACCGATAGCTGCTCTTACATACAAAAGTGGCAACGGCTGCCTGTGCCCCGCACACTGGTGTGTTTCTGACCACCAAGGAACAACACCGCAAGAGGCACAACACGGACGCGAGCCCACTTCCACGGGACCCCCGCAAACTTTCAGTATCACCCTTTCCGGGAACAGGCTGAGAGACAAGACCGTTCTTGGTACACTGGATCCCTATCTACTCTCTTTGGAGACAGCAATTTGCAGACCAGCAAAAGTGAAATTCCATTTTTTTTTTTATTTTTAAGAGGTATTTGACCCAGTTTTCAAAGAGAGAACCAAGGTAAGTCGAAATCAGGAGCCCAAAGAGAAGGCATATTACAATGTGCTGGGTAACCGTGATGTGTGCAACCAGAAAGGACATTTTGCTAACTGGAAAGTGCAGCTTGTTCCCACAGATCCCACGAGCAAAGCCAGCAGTTTATTTACTCCCCAAGCAAATGGAGTGAGTAAGGGCTTGCCAATATGACTGCATCCCTGAGCAGTCCCACTAAAATGCCATGAGCTTTTATTTTTGTTTTAAGTTGATGCTTGAAGAACGCAAGAACTGAACACCACTTAAGTCAAAGGGTGAAAATCCCGTCACAGCCCATGTTAGCTAACCTCACTGTATTATATAATGACACCGTATTTACAGAACGGCTTTCTCTCCCACTCTATAACAAATCTGCTTTAGTGCAACTCATCCAAAAATCTGTATAAACTAATACACTGTGTCAACAGACTCTGTTGAAACTGGAAGTCACCTCTCCCAGAGAGGTTATTTTAGAACTACTTAGGGCATCATTTAAAAACAACTTAAATTTTTTCTCCACCCACACACAGTCATAATGTAACCAACCCATTTTCCTTCACACTACAGAACAAGTTTTACCTTTGGAGTGGTCTTAGTTCCTTAATTACAGTATTTAAAAAGAGGGTTAAGTTTCTTATTGCCACTTCTCTCCAATAAGAAGAAAAAAAGATAGTTAGATGCCAAGGGGATATGGAAAAATAAAAATAAATACTAATGGCAGATCTATGGTTCTTGACAAACAACGCCAAGCTCCAAACTTCTAATGGAGAGTCAAAGTATAATTGGGGCCTGGGGGGGCGGAAGGGGGAAAGAAGCACCGGTGTCAGAGCAGAAGAAAGGTTTGATGATTCCAGTGCCTTTAAAGGAAGTCTAAGAGTCTAAACTACATCTTCGTACTTGGTTTGCTGAGTTCGCCTCAAACTAGCTTGACTAGCTATTGTGGACGGTGTGCCAACTCCAAAGCCAGAAGTGTCCAGATACAGAGCGGGGAAGGACGTAAGAGTTTGCTGCTAAAACGCTGGATCCTTCCCAGGAGTGAGTCCCTCCTCCTGTTTTAAGAAGTTTGGCTCTTCAGAGGAAGAAAATCGCTCTAGACAGAGCAGATTGCATCTTTCCACGTGGAACCGTGGGGCCAAATATTGAGAATCTACAGCTGCCTCCTCCACGTGCATCAGACACAGAGGAATTGCATGCCCTAACAGCAAAAGGGAGAACAAAAGCAACATCAAATGCACAGGTGGCTGGACAGCCCCTCCGAGAAAATACTACCAGCCCCTGGGACACAGACACAGGCAATGAAGACCTGTCCAAGCAGGTGACGCCATTACTAGCTTTCAGCTGGTCCCAAATGACGTGGTGAATATGACATGCAGGCAGGAAGATGTTTAATGAGGTAAAAGACAGTAGCACCTCCCTTCTAGAAATAGTTTAAAAAAGGCATTTTTTCCCTGTATGTAGAGATTTAAAACTTTTTTCTCCTTTTTTTGCCAATAAAACCTGCTAAGGATACAAGCACAATCATCAAAAAATACCAAGTCTGCTCAGAAGAGCTCTTAGGATTTCATTTCTTCGTATACAAGCTCGTTAAAGTTTAGTAAGTGTTAAAAACTGGAATCTGATACCAGCTCCCTTTCCCCCCCCCAACACAGATTTATCACTCACACACACACACACGCGTGCACACAGAGTACTTGTTATGTTTCCCTTTTACAGATTAACTGCTATAAAGGATGATTGTTCTAAGCCATGGAGACTTGTGAGGTCTGGCTCTCACAGAGAAGCCATTTTTCCTCTAAGGTTTTTACCCGATTTACAAGGCAAAGCTCTACCATTCCCATACATTCATTACAAAACAAAAAATAGCCTCATTAGGTGAGCCTAAAAATCCTGGTCCTGTTAGCCCCAGGCCTGCAGGTCAGTTCTTGGCTGTTCTGAGCTTCCTGCGGAAATAGTCAGGGGCTGCATCATACAGCCAGTCCGCATCCACCACACAGAGATCCCGCATGTAGCACTTGTTGGTGTGAAGCAGCCCGTTGTAAACCACGCAGGCCGGCTTGCAGTGGAACAGCACAGAAGAGGGGTGGATGGCCACCAACTGGTGAGAGTCCACGGTGGTGTAAGTGCCGTCCGGCTGCAGCTCCGCAGCGTTCATGAAGAGGCTGTGAGCTAGGCAGCGGCGGATGTTTCCAGTGTCTGAGCGGGAAGACTCCATTGGCATCGATAGCTGGTTAGCAGTGAGAGAGACAAGGTGGTAGGTAGCACCTTTAGAGAGCATCCTGCAGCCCAGGCTCAGACACCCCTAACATCACATCTAAAGAAGTTAAACAGCAAGCTGGAGGCTCCCGCATAACCCAGAAGAGCACATCACTTTCTGGCACTCATTCTGACAGCTGGGACCCCAAAAGAGAGGGGATCTTGGCCCTGCAGAGTGAGCTCAGGTACTGTTCTAACTTCACTTGCAGGCTCTCAGAGAAACCCTTCTGCCAGGAGAGAAGGCCACATGAAGAGGACAGCCTGCGGCTTCTGCTCCAGCTGGGCTTTCATGCATGCTTTGCAGGGAAACATCAGCCTTAGCAACGCCTCAGTACTCCTAATTCTCCAGAGCTACTGTGCCCATGCTACCCAGCTCTGAAATCCTGCCCTCCTTGGATCTTTGGCAGCCATAACCAGGGCAGGAGAGATGGAAGCCATAGCATCAAGCGGGCTGCACGGCACTTTGCAGTCACACACCCTGAAGTGCACAAGGTACTGCTCACTATCAAATGGCATTAGCTTTTACTTCTCACACAGATCTGTGTTTGTCCAGAGGGACTCCATTTGGGAGTTATTTTCACAATGTGTTCTTCTCGTGCCAAAGAGTAAGCAAGCGTGTATGTGCACCCTCAGGGGGAAACGCAACTCCATTTCAATGGGCTTCTGAGGCCAGGCAACACCATGCCAGCAATTCAGCTAGCCTATGAACTACAAAACCTCTGGGACCTCTGGGAATTCAGCGCAGACAGGGCTTTGTATTGAGGCATTAGGCTAGTCCAGACTAACAGCAGAAAGGAGAAGAGTCACAAAACGGATCCAGACTCCCCTTCTGCAAGTCAGCGTCAGGCCAGCTAGCATTCACAATAGGACAGGGGTGCGCGGCTGCGCGGCTCCCACGTCACGTACGGACTGCAAGTAATCCAGCCCTGGCTCCTGTGCTATCGCTCAAGCTGGGCAACTGGCAGGAGCAGTGCTGATGTGAAAGCTGCTCCTAAGCTGAATGCCCGATTATGGGAAGAAGCCAGCCAGCATGGGCTGTGGAGGCTGCCATCACCCAGTGGCACACAGCACAGTCCCACCTGCACTATAGCAGCGGGATCCCTTAGGAAAAACTGTCCTCTGCCTGAGAAGCCTTCCCAGAGCCCCACTTCTCTCTACACCTCTCCTAGACGCATTGAGGCCTGCAGCTCTAAGATTCTGGAATGCAATCTGCACAGTCAGGAATTTTCCCCAGCTGTTCATTAGGAACTGAAAACACAACCAGGTTTGCTGCTCCTGGGACTTGGTGCACAAGGAAATCATTTGGGGGACAAACAGAAAAGAAAAATGCAAATAGACAAAACTAAGAAATAGAGTATGGCAACAAGTTACCTTTACGCAAATGTCCCTGAGCTGAGCTCTGACGTCCGACACGAGCATCATGTTCCTGCTG